TCCACATAAGGTTGTTGAGAACAGAATTAAGTAACAGACAGGAAAAGGATGTGAAAAGTAATAAAAGTTTCATTATTGCAAGATAGGCTGAGAACTGTTTAAAAATTCAGATGAAATTAAAATAAACTAAGCACAGCAATGCAAGCCAGCTTTATCGTAATCAGCTATCACCTGGGAAATCCACCTCCTGATCACGGGATAAATATTTAGAAGTAACACATCTGAAAGTGCTGCCTCCAAGACATAATAAATGATCAAAATGATTAATGTGGAGTAGATTCCATGAAAACAAAAGACCTATAAGCCCTCTACACAAATATTTCTGTTGAATATATGAATTTCAGCAGGGAAGCAGTGCCCATGTTCTAGTAGAGTGAAAACCAAGACAATCCGATTCTTACTCTAGAAGGAAACCAAAATAAAATGGAAGCTATGCTTTACATTGTGCTGCCTGCTCAATATTAGACTTGACAACATTCAATAAAGCAAGAAAATGTCCTTCACTGCAATGGCAGCGCTGCCTAACTAGCTGCGTGTGTCTCTATCATGCCCTGGAGACTGACATGCTTAGCAGGATGAAAATAAGAGATGGTCAATGCACGTCCTTAGGTTTGAGCTACAATGAGCAGAGAAACAGAATAAGTATGGCCAGGTGTCCAATAGGAAATGAAAACTAGGTAGCTCTGTTTCTTTCCTTTTTTTTTTTTTTCTTTTTTAAAAGAATGGTATTACTGGAAAAGGTAGCTTTTCCAGGAATGAGCTGGATCAAACAATGACACTTTCACATCCTCTGTCAGTGCCCCTGTGATCATGGACCAGCCCACCAGTGGTAAAAGAAAATGTAGTTTGTGCCAAGCTTTGTGTTTTTTCAATGCACCTGCCCCCACACAAAGGCCATACCCTACTAAAGTCAGGACTCTTACAGATGTTAGCTTGTGCTGTGGGTGAATTTTTTGATGAACGTCCAATATGTTTATGAAGAAAAATAAAGGTAAAATACACCAAGTCTTCATTCTGCGATCATAAATACACATAAAGGGGCACCTGAGTGGCTCAGCTGGTTAAGCTCAGCTAGATTTTAGCTCAAGTCATGATCTCACTATTCATGAAATTAAGCCCCATGTTGGGCTCTGTGCTGACAGTGCACAGAGCCTGCTTCTCATTCTTCCTCTCCCTCTCTCTCTCTGCCCCTCCCCCACTTGTGCTTGCTCTCTCTCAAAACAAATAATAAAAATAAACTTAAAAAATAAAAAGGGAAATACACATCAAAACCAGTCTTTGAATTTTCTTATTATTAGCTATGAGCTGAGATTTGCTGCCCTGCTGGGAAATATACAAACAAACCCAATATTAGAACCAATCCATTTGGGTATTTAAATATTGCATTGATTTTGGCATTTAGGTAGCCAGTTACAACAGTGCTGCCTTCTAGGGCACATCCTCCAAAATATGGACTGAACCAAGCCAGAGACATCATATGCCCTAGTGCCTCTTAAAATGAGGCTATTAATAAAGGTTTGTTTTGATGTTAAGAAACAAAAACAAAAAGAGCTGCAAACTAACTGGAATGTAGAGTATGTTATATGTAGCTCTTCAGGCAACTGAAAACAGCCAGAGTGCCCAGATGCTGTGAAAACCACTGGGTGACCAGGAGAGCCTGTAGGTGTCACAATACCTGTGCCTGGAGAAATCTCCATCCTACCTGAGAAATCTTTGGTAATTACCTGAAGAATCACTTATTCTGTTTTCCACTCTCACATTTTACTGTTTAATTTTTATAAGAGGTACTTTGTAACTGGCTCAATTTACTTTCAAAGCTTCTAAGTGCTTTCTCTTCCCCAGCCCCCACTATTTCTTCCCTGCCATTGCAGAAAAGCTGCTGTGTTGTAAACACATGGCCCCACTCTGTATATCCAGCTGCCTGGGAAAATACTCAGCTTATTTATATTTAATGTGTCTTTCCTGCTGATCCTTCAGGGTGCACATCTCCCCTACCACATCTAATAAGCATGATGGATTATATTCAATTTAGCTAATGCCAACCTGTAACTAATTATATAGCAGCACCCCCAAATCAGGCTCGAGCTACAGCCTTGTCAAAGGACCCTTTATAAACAGGCTGTTTCTGGAGGTTTACACACCAAGTATGGGTGAATACATTTGTAAATATGAGAAGACGGTATAAAGACTAAGCTGTCAACACTAAGAAGGAGCTTTGAGTCCTCACTACTGAGGGAGGGAAGACCGTGTATCCTTAAACAAATGGAGAAGAGTGAATATTACAACACTCCAGAGGGGCCAGCTGGTCGGTAGCTCACGTTATACTAAGCGTTATACTAAGCATTATACTAGGGGCATCTGGTAGCTAGCAGCGTGCTCACAGGTCAAGAAAAGACTCCCAGTAACCTGGACAAGCTACTGTCTCACCATTCCAAGTATGCCTTGGGCAAGACACCCCCTCTGGACCCTAGGTCCTCCATCAGGAAGACAGAAGTGGTAGCAGAGCTTGGTGGAAAGAACATGGACTCAGCAATAAGACAAGTCTGGTTTCTAAACCTCAGGATGGGGCTCTATGAAAGAGTAAGTTATTTAAGCTTTCTAAACTTTGGCTTCCTCATCAGCCAAACCAAAAAAATGACAACTACCTTGCACAGTTGTGGGGATTCTGTGATAAATGTTCGTGAAGCACTGACACAGTGGGAATACATTTTAGGAATTCAATAAATGACAACTGTTATTGGACCCAAGAGTGATATTCCATCCATTCTGATGGTGAGAATCAAAAATGACACTTCATATGGAAAAAATGTACGCTGCTAAAGCCTTACAATATGGAGTTCCTGGAGCTTCTTCAGAACTCCACAATAACCTAGACAATATATACTTTGTTATACCAACAGAGATTATGGGAAAACAGGTAAGATAACCATGTGGGATGCTCCCCAAAGGCCCTTCCTTTGGTCCCTACTGGAGAAGGGGATATAAAATTAATCCCCTACACTGGAGTTAAGGTCGAGGATGTGTATACCTCCATCAGAAGGGTACCTCAAATTCAAAGCCTCTACAATCCTACCTTTCTTTTTTTTTTTTTAATTTATTTAAATCTTTTGAGAGAGAGAGAGAAAATGAATGAGCGAGAAGGGGAAGGGCGGAGAGAGAGGGAGATAAAGAATCCTAAGCAGGCTCTAGGCCATCAATGCAGAGCCCAACATGGGCCTTTAACTCATGAACTATGAGATCATGATCTGAGCTGAAATCAAGCTGGTCGCCCAACCAACCGAGCCACCAAGGCGCCCCCACAATCCCACCTTTCAAGCCTCATCTCCCACTTGCTGCCTCCCACACTATGTTCCAGTCCCTACAGGGCAGCTCCTTGCACCCTGACCTACCTCCAGGCCTTGGCTATGCTACTCGTTCATGCTGGAGGGTCCCTCTTCACGCCTGTCTCCTGATCCTAGTTTTCCTCTGCTTAAAACTTCCTACACTTTGGCACTCCTAACTCCTCTTAGAAAAGGATCAGCTTCAGGACATGTTTCTTCAGGTGACCCTCAACAAACCCAAGGCAGTCCTTTAAAATAACCATCTTTTATACCGGGATCCTTCTCTTTCCACCTGTGTTTCCTCTGAAAAGTTGTAAAATGTAAACCTTTTTATATGTTTTCCACATTTTAAACTCCACTTTGTAAACTGTGGCTCAAGGCAGACTATTATCAATATTAGCACAGCCATGTCAACAATTACCAAAAATATGCTAAGCCCCACCCAAACCACCCAGAGACGTTATAACACTGAAGTCCTGAATCATTCCAGCTGTGGCAGTCAGGAGACTCTGGTCACAGTGTCATGTGTCAAAACAAGCCTACTCCCTCCAGGTATGGCCCATCAGCTCCTCCATGAAGTCTCCCATCATGTCCATTTAACAACCCCTCCCTTGGGTTCTCAGAGCACTCTGCAAACACTTGGGCATCCCTGCATTCACTAACCTAACCTGTCAGGTGTATTTAGAATATGTAAGAAGTTGGGGCAGGGGGAACACCAAAGTTTCAAGTCCTTCCTAATACTGCCACTCTAAGCCTCAATCTCATCTCTTATAAAATGGAAGTAAGTCTTCTTCATTGAATTGTGAAAATAAAACAAAATTAGATAAGCATCAAGCTCTTAGCCAGCACATGCCCCACATGTATTGAGTGCCCAATAAACAGGAGCTATTTTCATGGTATAATTATCATCACCACTACAGTATAAAGAGATGTATGTCACAGAGCAATGCATGAAGAGCAAAGGGAACAACACTTTGTTCTGGTTTGTTTGCATACCTTGCCTCTCTGGAGCATAGTAAATGTGATTCAAAAAAAATTTTTATTTTACAAATAGTTTATTGTCAAATTAGTTTCCACATAAAACCCAGTGCTCATCCCCACAAGTGCCCTCCTCCATGCCCATCCCCCCTCCCCCCTCATCCATCAGTCCTCAGTTTTTGTCAGCATTCAAGAGTCTCTCATGGTTTGCCTCTCTCCCTTTCCCCCACCATTTCCCCCCTTCTTCTCCCTCTTGTTCCTCAGTTAAGTTCCTCCTAATCCTCCTATACGTGCACACATATGATATTTGTCCTTCTCTGCCTGACTTATTTCGCTCAGCATAACACCCTCAAGGTCCATCCATGTTGCTACACATGGCCAGGTTTCATTCTTTCTCATTGCCATGTGGTATTCCATTGTGAAATATACCACATCTTCTTGATCCATTTGTCCGTTGATGGACACTTAGGCTCTTTCCATGTTTTGGCTATTGTGGAGAGTGCTGCTATGAACATTGGACTTTAAATTAAAGACAATAACAAGAGATGAAGAAGGGCACTACATAATAATTACAGGGTCCATTCATCAGGAAGAACTAACTATCATAAATGTCTACGCACCGAATACGGAAGCACCTAAATATCTAAAACAATTAATCACAAACAGAAACAAGCTTATAGATAAGAATGTGATTCAAGGAGCAGTGTGAAGAAGAGGAGGCAAGAACAACCCCCGGACCGGCCAAAGCCCGCGCGCCGCTGCATCCCCGCGTCCAGCGCCCACGTCCCGCCGCCGTCGCCACCATGCCCAAGAGAAAGGCTGAAGGGGATGCTAAAGGAGATAAAGCCAAGATGAAGGATCAGCCACAGAGAAGATCTGCAAGGTTATCTGCTAAACCTGCTCCTCCAAAGCCACAGCCCAAACCTAAAAAGGCCCCTGCAAAGAAGGGAGAGAAGGTACCCAAAGGGAAAAAGGGGAAAGCTGATGCTGGCAAGGATGGGAATAACCCAGCAGAAAATGGAGATGCCAAAACAGACCAGGCACAGAAAGCTGAAGGTGCCGTAGACGCCAAGTGAAGTGTGTGCATTTTTGATAACTGTGTACTTCTGGTGACTGTACAGTTTGAAATACCATTTTTTATCAAGTTTTATAAAAATGCAGAAGTTTGTTTTACTTTTTTTTTAAGCTATGTTGTTAGCACACAGAACACTTCATTCTTGTTTTGGGGGAAGGGCATATGTCACTATTAGAATATCTCCGAAGCTAGATTGATACAAGGGGAAAAACACCATTCCCTTCTAGTTCTGAGAAACTTCCTCTTGGTTCCAGGAGGAGCGATTCCTTGATATTGACACACATTAGCCACATTGGCACAAATGCCTTGTGGTGTGGAAAATCTAAAATTCATTTTTTTATGTCCTTTTCTCCCTCTGCCTTCAACATAGACTTGACTCCCTTAAACCCAGAGACCTGTTGGAACCTGACCCCACGAAATGGTTCCCAGTATGTCAGGCAATCTGGACTTTACAGTGTCACCATGGAGATGGCATCCCTCAAAAGAGTTCCTTTTGTAGCTTGTGGAGCTTCAGATTGATAATTCTGCCATCTTCATTTCATTTCCTGAAAGTCAGGGTCGGCTCGTGAAAAGTTGTTAAACAACATGCTAAATGTGAAATGTCAACCCTCACTCTAAACTTCCCTGTTCAGAGCATCAAATGAAGACTTCATTGGGTTTTATAGTGGCTTTCTGATTTTGGTAGTCCATTGAAGAAGGGAGTTTGAAAGTTGTTGTATACTGTTAACGATTGTCTGCCCATGTCCTGCCTGAAATACCATGATTGCTTATGAAAAGTATCTTTAATAAAGCTGGATACAGTTTGGCTTGGGGGAAAAAAAAAAAAAGAATGTGATTCAAATTTGAGGGGAGACGGTGCAGGCTTTAAGAACCCAGAGAAGGCATGGCTGTGAGAGCAGAGGACAGCCCAATGAGCCAGTCAACCTCCAAAGCCATCCCAAGATCCAGGAAAACAGGGAACACGCAACTAAGGCCTAGAATATCAATGAGGCCACTAGCAGCCCATTAGGATAATTTCCAATGGTCTGAGCCTCCCCCAAATGTTAGCCAGGGATGGCCACAGAAGAGCCAGCTGAGGAGAATGTTAAAAATATGAGTTTTGGGAACTCAGAATCAACAGTCTGGGGTGGAGCCTGAGAATGTGTATTTTCTTTTTTTTTTTTTTTATAAATAGTTTATTGTCAAGTTGGCTTCCAACAATACCCAATGCTCATCCCCACAAGTGCCCTCCTCCATGCTCATCCTTCCCCCTCCCCCCCACATCCATCAGTCCAAGAATGTGTATTTTCAACAGGCAACCCAGGTGATTTTAATGTGCAGTCAGTTGTACCCAGAACCAGAAAGCAGAGTGAGCCCTCAGCATGGTTTTTCTGGTCTGGCCTTTAGACCTCTACACAAAATCTATGCAAAACCTCTCCTGCGATTGGGGGGGCCCGTTGCTTTTTTTTTTTTTTTTTTTAAATATTTTTATTTATTTCTAGGGGATAGAGAGAGAGACAGCGTGAGCAGGGGAGGGTCAGAGAGAGAGGGAGATACAGACTGAAACAGCCTCCAGGCTCTGAGCTGGCAGTCAGCACAGAGCCCGACGCGGGGCTCAAACCCACGAACCGTGAGATCATGACCTAAGCGAAACTCGGACGCTGAACCGACTAAGCCACCCAGGCGCCCCAGGGGGGCCTCTTGCTTTTAACCAAGGCTCCATGAAGGGCGGGGTGTGAATGGTCATCAGGTGGTTCAAGCCTACATGCTCAGGAATAAAGACGAGCTTCCCAACAGCAATACTTGCCAGGGCCAACTATCTTCATGAGGGAAGTAATCATAACTCTTTTAGATCATTTCCTGAGTGAACAGAAACAATAATAGCAGTACTAGTTCCTAAGTGTTAGCAATGTGTCAGGCACTGCACCCATCCATACATGTGACCTAATTTAATGCCCACGACACCCTGCAAGATAGACACTGCGCTCATTAAAGAACACCAATGTTAAGAGAGGATAACTAATGTGCCCAAGGTCACATAGCTAATCAGAGACAGAGTCAGACAGGCAACTGGTTATTTAATCATGAAAGTTATGCTGTTAGACCAAGTGACAATCCTGTCTGCCAGTTTCTGGCTCTCTCTTTCCTGTAGACCTGGATCAAAACCCTCAACCTGAAGAAATTTTATTTCCTCTAAAATTCCCAAAGCACTTAACACAGAGCTCTATTATTTGTGCTGTTCAATAAATGACTAGTGAATAAAGAGAGGCATGTTTCTGTCATCCTTTACTCAAAGAGCACAAAACACATTCATATTTACTCTCTCATCTGCTCTAGTGGTTGCTTTAAAAAACAAAACACTTTTATTGGAATAAGACATAAATAAGGGGTTCTGTAAAATATTTAAAATGACCTCATTCTTTTCTCTAAGTGTTGCTATGCTTTTTGCTGCTTTTTATATTCAAATAGAAGCTTTTCATTCATATACATCCCTTTCAAAGAACTCTGGTTATACAAAAATGTAACTTAAAAAGGTAAGATTCTTCTATCACCATTGCTTCCTACTCTTTGTTTCCTTTTTCTTTCTTTACATTTCCTTTTAATGAGGTTCCATCTCTCTTTCCTACATAGCCCCACATCCATCTCACAATCTGTTTACAGCACACCAAAATCTACATTCACTATATGCACCACTTCCGTTGGTCCATCTTTGGACCATTGGGAAGAAGACAGCCCACCTCTCTCGTCACCATCCGTGTCTCTAGGGAAGGCCAGGCCTTCAGAAACTCCACACTAGGCCCCCATCCCACAAGGCCATGGTCTGACAGTAGAGCACACATCCCTCTCTTGTTCCCCGAAGGTCATGAGAGACCAACTCCCTACCACTATTCTCACTATTACAATTATTTTGATTTGTTACTTTGCCTAATATGGAAACATGTAACAAATAACAAGGAGCATAAAAGTCAAAAGATTCCAAGCAGGCTAGTGGGAGAGATGATATTTGTAAGGGACTTTTCTTGATCATCTCCTATCTCTCTACAGGGGAGTTTCTCATTCAACCTAAGACAAATGTTTCCCCTATGCTCTAATTCAAATACATGCACAGTGACACTCATGTCATCAACTAATATGTACTGAGTACCATTCTTGCCTTCAAAAAGTTTCAGCATATTAAGAAGGTAACAGCACAGACACACACACAGAAACTATTACTTCTTAAAGGAAGGCTTAGTGTTGAGTTCTTACAGAGGCCTGTGCCATCAGACAGGCCAATGCTCTCTTGCCTCCTGACACCCTGAGATACTCCAGCTAATCCTCAAACCTTATAAGTCTTATCCACTGAGCTTTCCTGTGCTTGGAAAAATACACTAGACACCAACTCTCTGAGAAGGTTTAATCTCAAAGGCCTTTAGTATAGTTTCCACAGTCTTCAGACTCCCTTTTCTACATATGTGGCCATGGATGCTGTTGTTGGTTTGGGCTGGACAATTCCAATAGAAGCCACAAGCATCTAGACTAAATGGGGTCCCTAGGCTTCAGTGAACTCAAGGTTAAACAAGTCATCATTCAAATATTTCATAATTCTGGAACCTCAACTGGGAAGATGAGATTTGTTCTGCCTCTCACTAGCGATGTACTTTCCAATAATGGCACCATCCTCCATGTGTTTCGGACTCCATCAATAGTAAGGTGGAAATACACCCAAAACCTGCATTTATGGGTGGAATGGGGAGTTATTGTTTAATGGGTACAGAGTCTTAGTCTTACAGGGTGAATGGTAGGGTTGAGACCAAGACAATGGGAATGTCCTAACCCCACTGAACTGTACACTTAAAAATGGTTCAGGTGATAAATTTTATGTTCTGTGTATTTTGCCATGATTAAAAAATGTTTAATATTCTAAAATTGATGTTGGTGATGGTTGCACAACTCTGGAAATAATACTCAAACTCACTGAATTGCACACTTTAAATGGGTGAATTGTGTGGTATGTGAATTATATCTCAACTAACTTGTTATAAAAGAGAAAAAAGAAATCAAATAGGCATTTTAGAAACAAATCTATATTTTAAATTAACCAAACCTATATTTTAAATTAATCAGACAGATTTAACAGCAGACTGATTACAGCAGAAATAGGATTAGTGAATTCGAATATAGGTCAATAAAAATTAGTCAACCTGAATCATAGATGGAAAAGAGAATGAAGAACAGAGCAGAACACAAGAAACATATGAAATATGTTTATATAGCCGGAATCCTAGAAGGAGAGAATAGAGACAATGGAGAAGTATTGTATAAAAGAAATGAGCTAAGATTTTTCCAAAAATTATCAAAGCCATCAATCCACAAATTCAAGAGTCTCAGCAAATATGAAGCAAGATAAATGAGCAACAACAACAACAAAATCTGACCCAGGAACTTAACAGTCAAAATATTAAAAATTTTAAAAAGGAAGAAATTTTAAAAGACACAGAGGAAAAGTAAGACACATCACATTCAGGAGAACAACAGAAGAATGGCATCTGAATTCTCATCAATTGTAACAACATATTTAAATTGCTAAAAGGTTTAAAAAGAAAAAAGCAGACCTATGACTTTATACCTTGAGAAAATAATCCAGGGGCGCCTGGGTGGCTTAGTCGGTTAAGCGTCCGACTTTCGCTTAGGTCATGATCTCGCGGTTCGTGGGTTCGAGCCCCGCATCAGGCTCTGTGCTGCCAGCTCAGAGTCTGGAGCCTGTTTCAGTCTGTGACTCCCTCTCTCTCTGACCCTCCCCTGCTCACGCTGTCTCTCTCTCTCTCTCTCTCCTAGATATAAATAAAACATTAAAAAAAAAAAAAGAAAAGAATCCAAATAAAGATGCTTTCAAACAAATGATTTTAAAAGTTCATCATCAAAATAATAGCACTGGGAAAAAGAATAAAAGGAGATTCTCAGGCTGTAAGAAATTGATCCCCCCCCCCAAAAAACACAAAACTAAAATGAAGAGTGAAAAACATATTAATAAATATAAAAGAATATTGGCTATTTAAAACAATAATGATAACAAAGACCTGTGGGTTTATAACAAAAATAGCACAAAGAGCAAGAAGGAGGTTAAATAGAATTAAACTATTGTAAAGATATCTTATATAGTTTGAAAGGGGGTAAAAGTACTAACTGAAATAGATTCTTGCAAATCGAATTCAACAGCACATAAAAAGAATTATCCACCAAGATCAAGTGGGATTCATTCCTGGGTTACAGGGCTAGTTCAACATTCGCAAATCAATCAATGTGATACA